AGACAGCTTCCAGGCAGCGTTTTCAGCGGCTCGTCGCTACCTGCGCAATGGCGGCTCGGAGGAGCAGCACAGCAGGAGCATGCGTTGGACAGAGATCATAATGCTTTTGTACTCCTTAGGCGTGTCTAAATAAAACCCCGATTTAGGTACGTAACGGGTTGCTAGTAAGGAAGGATTTTTAGAGTAGTAAATAATGTAGAAGGAGTATTAAGCGACCCGAATCTAGGGGTTAAGTGATGTAACATAAATCTGACCTATTACAGCTAGTATTTCAGCAGTGTTTTACTGTGGGAAAAGCATATATAAAAAGAGGGAATGAGTGGTGTCTGGCAGTAAGCAAAATTACTGACTGAAAGAGTTATCATTTCTTAGGCCTCTATGGATCCCATAGTAGCCTTCTTGAAATATTTCTGTTGAAATACCTTTTGCAGCTCAGTTCTGTTATTTACCTGTCTCACGGTAAACAGCGCCTTGAGCAGCACTATGAAAACTGGCAACAGATGGTCCCTTATACCTTCTTGTTTTCCAGGTCTATAGTGTGCGTGGCTTCTGTGATGGGATGGGCTTAGATAAAGTAAAGTAACCGGTTTTCAGTTTGAATTTCTCCTTACACATAAGCACGCAGCTCATTGCTCCCTCCTTTCCCTGGAAAGGCATCACAGATGCCTAGAAAGGCAAACACAGGGAATATTTTTATCAAAACCTCTTTCAATAAGATTTTGGTTGCATATCTTTCCTAATTTGTCTAATCTCTGATATATTTATCAAATGTGATTCTAGTTTGGTGTTGTATTACCTTTTACGTAGGGTTTAGGTGGATTTACAAAACTATTATTTAGCATTAGATATATCTGTTATAAAAATAATTGGGCAAAATGTCATTGTTACTGTCTTAGAACATTTGTATTCTTTCTACACTTAAACATCTAATAGGCACAGACCAGATACTAGTCTGGCCATAAGTACTCTTACATGCATTTAAAGAATAAATGAGATGTTGGGACAAGCCAGATTTGGAAAAAACAAAAAATAAAGAAGTGCATTTAAAATGAGCTCCTAGACTTCTCTGTAACATAAGCGAACTTAATTTAGTGCAGCTTCATCATTTGTAATGGACTGTGATTTAAACATACCTACAGGTTTGTACTCGGTTAAAAAAAATAGAAGTGGATGGACCTGTGGAAGACTAAACATCAGAAAGAGTTCTTTCAGGCTTCAGCATGTCCTTGTATAGTCTCTTGTATTAAAAAGATAGGAGACTGATATAAACAAAAAAGAAGTTGACTTAGATTTTGGTAAATGAGATAAGAGGAAAAAAAAATCCTAACCACAATAAAGAAGCTTGATGCTGCTGCAGTGTGATTTTGCTGGATTGAGCTACCATAAAATAGCAGCATAAAACCAGGAAAATATAATGTAGTTTAGTCCACAGGTGTCTGAGCGACAACCTGAACTTGTGTATCTTAACTGGAGAAAAGAAGTGTAGTGTTGCTCAGTAAGAAATGAGGTCTGCCTTTCCGTATACGCCATATTGCTGGCTGACATTGAAACATTTTTCTGTTCTGGTTTTTGTAGGGGGCTTTTTCTCCACCATCTTTTCCAGTTTGTTTGGAACTCGAGAAATGAGGATTCTCATTCTGGGACTGGATGGAGCTGGAAAAACAACTATTCTCTACAGGTTGCAAGTTGGAGAAGTTGTTACCACCATTCCGAGTAAGTGATCAGTCCCGCAGTAAATCCAGCCAATTTGCCTGTAGCTCTAACACATAAACTTTTGTCAGCTGAACTTGCTACCGGCTTTCTCCATGAACAGAAGGACCTTATGTTGTGGGAACCTTGCACTGTTCTATTTAAGACTTTCTTGCTTAACAGTATTACAGTGTGCTAGAGAAGTACTACATAAAGGAATATTTGATGCTGCCCTGCTGAATGCAAAAAGTGTTTGACTTTAAGATTGTTACCATGATTTGGCAGGCTTTTCTTGAAAGGTAAATGTTAACCGTTGACTATATAAGTAAGTCTTTTGTTTCCAAATACATCTATGAATGCAAATTTTAGAGATCATTATTATTGTAATAAAAAAAAATTCTGCATAGATGGTGTCAACGAATTGTACCTCTTTTGACAAGGGTCTTCAGTTTGTGTTAAACAGAAGTGTTAGAGAAGAAATCAGATGGTTTAACTTCAGCTTTACCTTATGTAGGAATGTAACAAAACTCAGTGTAAGATCTTATGGAAGGAGATGATGCTTATTTTAAAAAATGTAACCGATTTCACCAATTGTCTTAGCATTCATGCAGCCATACCCACCTATTACAGGCACCCAAATGTATGTGTCACTCTGGCTAGTGTCACTCTGTGTAACATGGACAAGGGATAGTTGGCTTGAGACGTCTCTTGGGTTCCTCCTGAATGGCCATGATAAGCTGACTTTGGTCAGGTGTTTTTACCTTTTAGAAGCTAGCAGTTTACTACGCCATAATCCTTTTGCCCTAGGGTTTTGCTGATTTCAGCCTCCATAAATTTTAGGCAGTCTGCATCCAACACTCACTTTCCTGTGTTGTGTTTCTCTGGACTGGCAGGAAAAGGAATGACCTATGTGATATGTTGTAACCTTACTGACATCACTAGAGTGTCAAGTCTTCTGCTGAGAAGTTGGTTCTGCTGTGGTCTTAGGAGAGTGCAGGTCTGGCGTTGACAGGAAGGACACATTCCTTAGTATTTTGTTGCTGTCAGTTTTGTACTTGGTTATCAAAACGGGCCCTTCCTTTAACCCTTGCTCTTCTGGTGATTTCAGGAACACTTCTGTTCATTTTTAACAACTGTAGCACATTACAAACCTCTACAATGTTTACAATGTTTTTACTGTCCAAAGAAAAAAATTACTGCATTATTTTGAGCCATAAGTGTTTGTTGGGGTAACTTTGCAAAGGGTATGAACTTTATTATGTAGCTACTGAGAATTTTCAGGCCTAAAAAATTGTAAACCAGGTGCTGTAACGTCTTCAGAAAAATAAAGAAAAATCAGCAGTGAAATTGTTTTAACTTTGTTTCAGCCATTGGCTTCAATGTAGAGACAGTGACATACAAGAATCTGAAATTTCAAGTTTGGGACCTGGGAGGACAAACAAGCATAAGGTAATAGATCTCTTAAAATCAAAAGATATAATGAAATTTTTCTAAAAAATGCTAAGTTCTTGGAATTCTCATAGCTAGTGCTTCTGAAAATTGGTTAAGTTTTAAAAATAGCCCATTCTCAGGAGAGTAATTTCCTCTGACAGAGTTCAGTTAATAAAAGCCGTGTTGGACTACCAAGATTGGAAAGAAACAAGTGAATATTTTCATTTATACGGTTTTGCTTTGAAAAATGAGTTTACTTGTGTAGTGGACAATTCTGTAGCATTCTGTTAAAGAGGGAAGTGAGTGATGTAAACCTGAAAGTTATTATTCAGGTATTCTTAAGAATGCAAAGCTAAGAAGTTGAATTTAGGTATAGAAGATAATATTTTGTAGCGAGCCTTACAAGTTTTGTAATGAATTATTATATGCATAATTGTAGTGATCTCTTCAGTACCCCTGTACAGTCTTCCTGTGATTCTTTCTTGAGTGTTAGTTAGTAGGGTGCACTGTAGGTAGGTTAATTAGTAAGGTGCAGGTTCCTTCCCTTCTTAGTTTCAGTAAGATAATTCTGAAAATTTCTCAAAACAATGTTTTGTTTGTTTTCATCCTTTGGGGTTTTTGCATCCTTTAATTACTTGCCTGTATGAATTAATTTAAGATTTCTGTTTATTTTCCTTTGGTGATTATAATGATTACTTATGGCAGAATCTTGTGTTTCTTTGCTTCTCCAACCCTCAGTTATGATGTCCTGCATCCCAAATAAGTTTTTTCCCAGCACTTCTGGCCTTTCTCTGGTTTCAAGCTGCTTTTTTTTTGCGAGGGTCGTTTGGTGCTTTTTTTTCCTGCTGTTGAGTGTATTTGTACTGTCTGTTCCTTTTGTAGCCTCTTGAAGGTATCTCCTGCTTGCTTCCTGGGGCCTTTCACCCCAGAGACAGTTTTTATTTCCTCTGGGTAACGTGGTTTTCATTATCTGGCTAAAAAGCACTATTAAAAGTGCAAACTATGACTGGCACTCATCTTTCTTCTACAGGCCATATTGGCGGTGTTACTATTCAAATACAGATGCGGTTATCTATGTAGTGGACAGCTGTGATCGAGACAGAATTGGCACTTCAAAATCAGAGCTTGTTGCTATGCTAGAGGTAAGAAAATAAGGATGATAATTTTATCAGTAGAACAGAAATTGAAACTTTTTGGAGTGAATGTGAAATTTGAGTCAGTGTATCAAGTGAAGCTCAAGTTCACTTGTGAACCTTCAGGCCTCAGACTAGGCCCATGCAGCACTTCTGACTGAAAAGTACTCAATAACGCTGCAGATGTTTCACAGTTTGGGGCAGTTAGTTACATGTAGCCTTTTGGTCATACAAAAATTTATCTGCCTGCAAGGACAGCTGCTCAGTACTTCAGTGGTGGCAAAATCATGCCCTGAAGGATTTAACAGTAACTAGTATCCTGATGTGTTTCAAAGCTGAAGAATGTATGTAGAACAGGGTAGTAGGAGTAAGATGACGAGAAATTTCTTTTTTTTCCCCAAACAATTCCTCCAGGCTCTTCAATATGCCTTAAGTCCAGCTATCAGCTTGTTTCATAATGTAACAGGCATAATTGGCCACGTTTTGAAATTGCTCCTAGGTGGTATTATGCTGGAATTGAAAGTAAATACCATTCTTTCGCTGAAGAATTTTCTAAAGATAGGAAATCAGCAAGGTGAAACTCATCAAGAGCTGAAGTTTCTTTTCATTGTGTCTGTTTTCTCTGCTTAAGTAAATTCAGTAAAAGTCCCTGTAGCACCTTGCATCATTCCCTCTTTTTCTAGGAAGAGGAGTTGAAGAAAGCCATTTTGGTGGTGTTTGCAAATAAGCAGGACATGGAACAGGCCATGACTCCCACAGAAATGGCAAACGCACTTGGCTTACCAGCTTTGAAGGACCGAAAATGGCAGATATTCAAAACCTCTGCAACTAAAGGCACAGGGCTTGATGAAGCAATGGAATGGTGAGTAAGTCTATGCTGGCTTCATTGAAAAAATAGCTTTCACAGTGGGTTGGTTTTTTTTTTAAAGACTGGATCTGCAGCAAAAGTTCCACATTAGAAGAATGAGTAGCTTTCTCCTGAAAGTATTTCAACATAATTGAACTGACTTTTTAGTAAACTGACTTAAACCTTTTTCCTAGGTTGGTGGAGGCCTTGAAGAGCAGGCAGTGATACAAACCTGACCCTTGCGAGGAAGTTTCAGCTACACCTAGCATCCTTCTTTCTGCAGTCAAGTATTTTCAGGCCAAAAATACTTGTAAATAGGACATATTTGAGTTTGACTCTGCTAATGTGGATGCCTCTCTTGAATTTGTAAAACTGAATCAAGTGAATGTCTGTGTACATTATGATTATTCCATTTCTTGCTTTAAAGGATGTACTTGGGTTAATTTGTATGAAAGTTTACTGGCTGGGAAAAAGGTTTTTTGTTCCCTTCCTCTGGTGGTTTTCAGTTTGGCTACTATATTTGTGTAATTAAAACACTAATAAAATCATTAACTGTCAGCTGTACTCATAGGCTTGCTCAAGGCTGCTTGGTTACAAGAACAAGTTCAACTGCTGCCAGTTCTGACAGCCACATGCTGAACTTTTTTTTTAAAGAGGTTTCCTTCAGCTGATGTTATCCTTCAGAATGATGTTATCCTTCAGAATCCTTCAGTGGTGATAGACTGTTACAATGAAGTACAGCAGCAGAGATTAACAGGGTACCTCTAGCTCTTAATGTAGCATTGGCTTTCTGAAAGGAAAACGTATGTCTTCACTAGCCACCTACCGCCCTCCTGTGCCAGGGCTGTAATTTGAATTTAACTTCCACCTTCATGAGCTATTATTCAGCTTAGCTAGAAATGACAGTCAAGTTGCAGTATAGATGCAGAAACAGACAAAGGCAAGTTTGTTTTCTCTCCAGAGCTAGGATGATCACAGGCATAAACAGTTATCACATAACCCATGTTTTAAAAATGAAGTAAAATTTAATATAAAAGATCATGGTAGTTTTCCATTCAACTGTACATGCTCTGGTAAATATACAGGTTTGGAAAAAAATTGAAAAGCTTTTGTTTAAGGTCCTAGATGAAAAAGAGGACATGAAAAAATACTAATAAATACAATTAAAATACAGGGGTTTTTTTAAATGGTAATTAGATCTTTATCTCAAAATTACTTTTTATAAATTAATCCTGCAGGAAAGAAAAGCCTTTTCATTCCACCATTGCTAAATCTTTCAGTGCATGACTTCGAGGTCTCTTGGCCTTGTAGGTAGGGCGCAGGAATTCTATTTTTCTCTTCCTTGTTTCTGCTTTATTCTTATGTCTCTTCAGCTTCCTCCTTGCAGCAATGTCAGGGTTTGCTACAGTCTAGTGAAAACCAATACATTTGTTTAGTTACTACTAACAACTGCCCCTGTAAACATCAACTACTGCCTAAGAAACTGATGACTGAAAAGACAAGGCACAGGTTTTCTTAGGCTCCTCATAACTGAGGGTAGTGTGGCTGCTCTGCCCAGGTTCACCACTGCATCACTGCCAGCCTGACTGCCCACAACGCCGAGCTTCAACAGTTTCTTGTGAAGTTTCAGAAATGAAACAATGAAACTGTCCCCATTCATGGTGAAGTTCTGCCTCAAACTCACCTTCCCGGTCAGCTCTCAAGCCTTTAGACAAACCATCTTTCTCAGAAGAGAAAGAAGAATCTTACCTGCAGAGCCCTCTGCTTTTTCCTCATTGCTCTTTTCTGATGGGCCTGTTTCTGCACAGAAGAAAAGGCAAGCGAAAAAGCCTCCAGTCCAACTAACTTCTTGAGCAGTTCTATGATTTCTTGGGACAGGTTCTTCAGTGTTGGATCTAATAAAACAAAATTTTCAGCATAGGGAATGAAAGCCAAGAGCCCAGTAAGGATTCCCCTTTCTTTACTAAAGGAAAACTGCACTGATTCATCGTCCCCAATATACCGCAAAGCAAAAGCACTTGTGAAATCAGCTGTTCATTCACCAGCTTTCCCACAGGACCACAAGCAGAACTTCAGAGGCAAACAAAAAATAATGCTTCTGAGAAGCAAAAATTTTTTGCAGAAGAGTACTGTCATCCTAGAGGTTAACAGAAGTGGTTTGCTGTATACAGCCATCAGGGCTCTTCTGGACTAGGCTTTGCTGGAAATAGAGAGGATTCCAGCCTCGTTAGTCAGCATCTGTCCAGTATACACAGTAAGGGCTGACTTAATGGTTAGGAAATCTAGTTAGTTACAAAGTATTCACTACAATAATTGAGAAAAAAGATGGGGGGAGGCTACAAAGAGATGCTAAGGGAAAACAGAGCAGGGCAAATGTTTCCTTCAGTTTTCCAACAGATCCCTCGTCCAAGTGTTTGTACAGCCTTCAGAGAAGTTTTATGTAAGCTGCTTGCCTCCACAACATCCACCAGTGACAAGTTCCCTGGGTCTACACCTCCCATCGTGAAAAACCATCTCTGCAGTTATTCTGAAAAAAATCACTTGAAGGCCCCTGATTCTTGTGCTGGCAGAGAAAGAAAAACACTGATCTTTGTTCACTCACAACACTCTCAATCTCTGCCGTATCTTTTCCAAGTCTCTTACTTGCTTAGCTTACAAAAAAAGCCAGGGTAGGCAAGGCAGCTGCTCCTTACCTAGAACAGTTACTGCTCTCCTCCCAAGTTTTCCCAGCTCTTTTGTATCCTTTCTGAGATGTGGGGACCCTGTGCTGCACACTGAATTTTCATGGCATATCCAAACGACAGTTGGTTTGTCTTTTCCACTACATCACACGCTCAAGCTTTACCCACTTGCATGCAGGAGCCTGCCTAACTTTAGTTCAGTCTTTTTTCTGTGTAGATTTTTGTGACAGCCAACATTCTTCACCTTTCCTGCTGTTCTGGTTAAACTGCAAGTAGGTGAAATTCACTGCTTATGGCATCTGTGCCTCAACAGACAAAAGGAATGACGGGCAGTGCTTGTGCTGAGGCAGAGCTCTGACACACTTTCCTCTTCTTTGTGAAGGAAATCACTTACCTTGTTCTGCATAGGTGCTGTTCATCTCCCTGAACAGAGGGGTGAGAATTGTTGGAAGGTAGGGCTTGATCCTGTCTTTTCCCAGATCCACTGAGATTGCTCCCAGGAATTTAAAGATGCAGCTTCGCTGAAAATGAGCGTGTGGGACATGAAGTAAGGAAGGTTGGAAGGAAACTGCCTAACTGAACTGCTGCAAAAGGGCCATGCATTGCTGTTCAGTGTCCGTTGTCCCAGGCACCTGAGTCAGGAACTGAGTCAGCCAAGTGCAGCCTTTAAATGAGACAACCCTAAGGGATCTGTAAATGTGTGATCTGTGACTTCACCAGGCTGGCTGTTAACAATGAACAACAAGCTTGTTCTCACTGTTCTATACTGATGTAGCTGACGACATGAAAGCTCACCCCCTGTAACTATACGCACCACAGGGAACGGCAGTGTTTTTTTCTGATACTTTCCCATACCCTCCCCTTCTAGCAATGAACTCCAAAGGCAGTGCTCTGTCCCCTCAGCATCTCTGGCCTTCCCATCCTTTCACCACCCCACATGAGGGCTGGAACCAACAGCAAGAAGCAGACTGGCACAAGTATTTCGTGAGAATTCTGAACTGAGATGCTTGTTGTTCTTTTGGCATCTACTAATCCTTGCTTCAGCACCAGCTTCCAGCACCCTCTGAAGCTGGTCCCCTGGAAGCAAACAGCCAGAGAACACTGCTGCGCAAGTGCCTACCACATCAAAAGCAGGTGGTCTAACCCGGTTCCTACCTTTAAAGGGACCTTAGGGGAATATGCTGCTTCTCGCTTTGCCATGAGAGAGAGCTTCTTCATTAACCAGGGCAGTGTGGCTGGCTGGCCTTTCTCTTCTGTGTCCTCTCTTCCTCCCTCTCTTTGAGCAGAAACATCCTTCTCTTCCTCATCTTCTGAGGCCTCCTGCTCTTCCACTCCACAACTTGCCTCTTTACCTCCTTCTAAGCCAGGGGCTAGCAAGTAAACAACTTTTGCCACAAAAAGCAAATTCTTTATAACCTGAAGTGTAAAAACAACGTAGTCAGTCACTATGGGTTTCCCAAGTATCAGCACCAGCAGTGCCCAGGGTATGTCAGAACCAAGCCTAGATATGAAAGAGGAACTGGCCAACCCAGGAGGCAGTAACGGGTTCACCCCTGCATGTTGCTCCACACAGGATGGCCCACCTCAATATCCTCCTGTAGTCTGGGAGAGTCTTTCCCCATGAGCTAGCATGCTATTTGGGCTTCAGCACCCCATAAGGCAGGGCTGCTCCTTTTGTCTTTCCCACCTCTAGCAGCCCATCTCCACAGGGGTGGATCTGACCAGGTTCACAGTGAAGTCAGACCTTTAAGCAACAGCATAAAGCTGGACTAAATGCTCCTAGCAAACAGCCAAGAGTCCAGGATCTGGCTGCTGAGCCTGCTACAGTCTGGGCTGCAGAGCCAGACTCCCCCCGACAGAAGGGACTCCAGTCCTGCCCTGCATGGTGCCTCCCCTTTTTGTCCCTGCTACCCCTCAGTCCTTCCACCAGGCTGACACCACAAAGGGGGCTTTTCCAGGCCCCTCTGAGACATGCATCTGCTCAGATGCCCTCAGCACAGAGCAGCTGGCCCTGCACTGTGTATTTGCCCTTGAGCTACCACCAGCCACCGGCACTGCTGTCCTGACGAGAACATAACACTCCCTCTTGGGCCAAGGGCCTGCTCTGTTCCCTCCTGCAGTCCCAGACCTTCTGCTCTTACCTGCTCTCCCAGAGACAGGTCCAGGAACTTGGACTGCAGCTGATGGCAGAATGCAAGCACAAGTTCTTTCATCTGGGGAAAGGAAAAAAGGAGAAGAAAATTATTCCATGAAAGGAAGCTAGTAGCACAAACTCAAAACAGTGTTTTGCAGTCACCAAAGGCAGTTCCCAGGGGAAGCCAAGGGATCAGCTAAGCACAACTTCTGCCTGCATTCTGCAGCCTAGAGGGGAATCTTTGTGCTGTTGAGAATAAAGACCCTAGAGAAGCCCCCTCCCAGCAGCAGAGACACCTCTCAAACGCTCTAAGCAATCAAGATTAGGTGGTAGACAAGCAACTGTAAGAGAAACGTGCATGCCTAATGATAACACTGTTTTTATGTCCCAGCCAGGGAATGGGCATGGGGGAAGGAGTAGTACAGACATGATTACCTTTTTGTCCAGTTCAGCAGTCAAGAAGACTGTGGATGCAGACAGCTCTGCTGACATCTTTTTCCTCTTCCCTGCCTTTCTTTCCCTCCACTTGCTGACAAGATCTTCTGGCTTGTAAAATGAAAACAACAAGCCAAAGATCTCAGTAGCTGTCAGCCAGACCCAGCTGTGAGGATACCACAGGTGAGACTGGACATGACCTGGGGGAAAGAAAACCTCTTTCAGCACAAGATCTGATCCAGTGAGAACAGAAGAACCAGAATTGCCTCAGCACATGCTACAATAAAAAGGCTAAGGAAATGAACTGGGCTCATCTGCTTAGAACATAACCAAAGACTTCGTAACAACTGTATCCAGTCAAAGCAGAGAGTGGCAAGAAGCTACAGGTAGCCAAATGTCCCCACGATGACCAAGCCATCTTGAATGCACCCACAGGACTTCCAAACATACAAAGACAGGGCCATTGCTGGAGAACAATAGCAACTGGACAGGAAAAGCAGGCATGGCACAAAAAGGCACCTGCCCCAATACTGGCTGACAGGTTGTGTTTCTGCAGCAACTACAGTCCCCTCAGGGACTCAGTGCCACAGCTCATCTGCCCATGATATCTGGGGCCTGGCTGCTGTGAGACTCAGGTGAGCTGGCCCTAATGCAGATGGTCAGATCGAACCCCTGGATGGAAGCTGAAGACACTTCAGAGAACAGATGGAATTACCCTCTTGTCTTGCCTCTGTCCAAGCTGCACATCACCAAGCAACCCAGAGTTTACAAAGGTTATCTCCTATCTCACTGAAAGCACCTGGCAGGCTGAACTCTTTGAAGATATTAACCAGCCAGATCCAGGCCTTCTGATAACAGCAAATGAAGCAATTAAAACCAAGGCCACAAAATGCCAAATGCCAGCCTGACATTGTACAATCTCACTCATAGGGAAACTGCTTGAATCAAATGACCTCTAGGCCTTAACATCCTGGCAGACACACAGTAATTACAGCACTACTAGCATATGTCATTGCTTGCTGGCTTGTATGTATGATCTATGTCATCAAGAAAATCTCATCTTCCAAGGAGAACTGAATGTTTTCATCCAAGAGGATGTTAATTATGGTCAAACATGCAATAGTTTGCAACTATTTGCTCTTTGGATACTTCCCAGAGACAGAGGGTGTGTTGTTTCCATCAACCATGTAACCTTTTCCATTTCTCTGTCACTGCCCAGTAACTGCCACTTTGCAGCATGCAAACCTTGTACAACAAAGTTCTATTGTTTATATTAGGGTGCAAAACCCCACATGGCACAAAGAATCTTCCTTTTAACATAGCCATAATAATTCTTGATACTTACCCCAGATATTGCTCACAACATCACTGTTCCTGGTTAACTGAATTAAGTTGCACTCTGTGATTAGCTTTGTTATCAGCACAAGAAAGCTGAAGAGCAGCCTGTCTGCAGCCTTCTCCTCCTCCTCTTTAGTTATCTAATAAAATCAGCAAGTCAAGGAAAGATGCTTATGAGAACCTGAAGACAGTGCTTATTTACCCTACCAGATACATTTCAGATCAACCCTTCAAAGAAACAGAGGGCTGACTTGTATCCAATTCCCCGAAGTAAATAGAAGTAGCTCCACGGAAGCATTTCCTCTGAAGACCCAACCTCTGCAGGAGACTTATTAGAATCATTCTTCTTGGTTTTTTTATACAGATGTTACTATAACAGTTAGGTTTCAAAGTGCAAGCAATTACACACACTGTATATCATTTATGTCTGTACATGTATTTGTGTGCATCTGATTCTCATTATTAGAGCCAAGCTGAGCTCAGGTTTGCCCGTGTCACCTGAGAAGCCCCAAGTTATGACAACACTCTGCACACCGTATTTTACTAAATCACTTTCAGGTCCTCACCCTGCCTGAAGTCACTGGTTGGGTTGATATAACTAGTTAGTGATTTACCTACATGTCGCAGCACATGGGTGGATTACACCGAATTTTTCCTCACTGCAAGTATTTTCATGTCTTGCCAATTTACATGCCCCAAGGTGGTTCTCTCGTTTAGCATGTTGCCCTTGCACATTAGTAACATACATGGCCACTCCCCAGATGCAGTGGCTGGGATCCCTTTGGGATTATCGCATGCCAACAGAATCTGAGGCAGCCTTCTTACTCTGAGTTAATCATGTGTACTGAAAAGATTTTCCATAAAACAAAACCCATGGTATGAAGTACAGGAAGGGACCTCCTTTGAAAGCTAACGCTGTAGGTAACACTGAAAAAAGCAGACATTCACAAGCAATGCACTCCTGACCTCCACACTTAAAATAAGCCTCTGCAGCTAGCAGACACATTTCCCAGTTAAACAGATGTTGTCAGTGTAACTGTCAGGCTGTTTTCCAACTAAACAGATTCTAACCTGTCCCAGTGCTACCTGTGTACCCTGCCATTCTTTCTGATGGTGGATTTTGTAACTCCACTTTAAACAAAAAAAACTAAGACCTTCTCTCCTACCACCGCAGGAAAGACCACAAGTAGGGAAAGCCACCTTGATGTACGTACTGCTGCATGCTGTCAACCCACTAAGTCATATGGGTAAAAACCAAAAGCCTGAGACTCAAGGGTTGTCTCAAGAACACCTGCCACCCACAGAGATCTTGATAGAGGCAAGGGCAAGGAGCAATCTATCTGCTGGTTACACAGTATAGTTACAGGCTCAGGTCAGGTGCCTCTGCAGAATTCCTTTCCTCCTTGTGCTGTGACCATGACATCAAATTTGGGCTTAGACAAAAAATATCTAGTTCTAGGTCAGTGAGGTCCCCCTCAGAACAAATGTCTGTGTTTTGTGTCTTTCCTCAGTGTCAAACTGTAGGTCCAACGGTTAAATCTCTCCCATGCTTCTTCCTTTTTTCCATTTTCTTAATTCTCTTTCCCCAAACCTCACACATGGAAAAAATTACTTACGTTTTCAAATTTAATTGGGTTGATTTCTTTTTCAATCAAGGTGAGGACAGCTTCAAGCCGCCGTTCAAACATTATTCCCTCCACTTCAACAAACAAACCACACGCCTGCGCAGCCAACCTCCTGTGTGAGCTCTGCCAATAGAAAGAGTAACACACCTTATTACTTCTGATAGTCAAATCCTGCAGCTCCCAGTTGCAGGAGCTGGTAGCAGCCCCTGCTTTTGCCTGTAGGAACTGCATCTTAAGAAACAATGGTTTTCAGAGCACTATTGATAAAGGAGATGCTGCCAGCTAAGGACAAAAGCACCCGGCAGCACAAGTTATTCCTGGAAACACAACGTGAAACAATGCCAAAAGGCCTTTTTCAACCTAGTTCCCAGCTGCAAAGCTCTGGGGGATACTCTGACTCTTCACAAAAAAACAGGTGGCTTAAAGCTATAAACCAGAACTGAACATGGAGATGAAAAGGATGAAGTGTTGAAGAACATTTACTCCACTACTGTAGAGGGACAAAACCTGAGTCCAGTCTGAGAATAACTAGACATCCAGGCACCCAGATCAAAATGGGAGATCTGTAAGACCAGGTTTGCCACCTTCCAGCTCACAGTAACAGAATGAAGCAAGTTTGAGCTAAAGACAGTGCAAAAAGCCAGTGACTGGGATCAAAAGAGCTTTAAGGAATTTGTGCAAACCTTTAACCTGAGCAAAGGCTACACTTGGTGAAATACCTGACCCAAAAGAGGAACCGTTAGAAAGCAGCACAATGCAGCTGGGAAGCCTGTAGGCTGACCTACAGCAGTCGCAGTTCCCTACATTCATGCAGTTATACCAAGCTATATAATTTCTTCCTCTTTTTATTAGCAAAAGCTACGGTGCTGAGCACAGCCTTAAAGAGGTTTTATTCTAAGCTGAATCTTGCTCATACTCCTTTCCTAAAACTACTAAGTCAGGCATAACTGAACCAACCAATCCAGTAGACCCTGTATAAAAGCAATCTCTCACTTGCTTTAATCTTACTCAACCCCCAGAGTCCCGATCTGGTCAGTGAAAAGACCAAAGAATACCTTCTTGCTGTGAAACCACTCTGTGACCAGTGAAAACATCAGATCTTGCTTTTCATTGTTTATCTTACTGAGGAGAGATTTACATGTCAAAGCCGCCATCTTTTTGCATTTGGCAGAATCATCATTTATCATCATCATACAAAGAGAGAGAAAAAACAGCCCGCAGTATTTGTGGAGGAGATCCTAGAAAGAAACAACCATTAGTCAACCACACACCCCCAGGGAGCTTCTAGCATTTAAAGGGGGTAAGAGAAGTATTTGTTATGCTGCATACAGGAACAATGTCAGCCCTGAGTGATATCCATGTCAAGGCAGGTGAACTGAAAGGGGGGGATGATCCAGTTGGAACAAGCAGGGAGTCTACAGCAGCTCCAGCCCTGCTCTGACTTGATAACATGTCCCTGAGACAGCCACTTGTCAAACCTAAAGGGGATTTTCACACCTGACTCTGAAACAGGCATAAGTCCCTCAGTGCTGCAGCAATCAGCTCAAAGGCCCTTCTTTCAGAGATGGCAGCTCTTTGCTACTTCACAGTTGCCAGGAACTAAACTGAGATACTAAATCTAATCAGGCGGTGGTGAAGCACTGCTTACTGTGCAGAATTTTATTTCCTTCCTCGCAAATCCTTGCTTGATTGCACTTCTCTGAGTCCCCTGAATGCTCAGTCAATCTCCAGCTGCAGAGCTTTGAGGCAGCTTAGGTTTTTGCGTATGTCATCCTGCATAGACGCACAGCTATTTTTCAGCTTTCATTCTGATCCACCCCCATAAGAAGCCCTCCCTCTCCAGTCAGGCCAGCAAAACAGATAAGGTACATTACATACCTGCTAGTCAACAACACCCCTCTAGAGTGCTAAAAAAAACCCATAATGAGAAAAATCTAAACTTCACTTTCTATTCATACTCCATTTCCTAAACTGGTTGTTTCTTCCTGGCACAAGTCACCATCAAGTTTATCCAAACTCCAGCTGACAGAGCTTTATTTTACTTGCAGACTGAGCACATTAGATAAAGAAGTACTGCAGACTTTTCAGCATGTCACTTCTCTTTCAGAGTAAAACCAGGTTCTTTGGAAACAAGTGAACATTCTGCTCATGATAAGAGACAGTATGAACTACCAAGTGCTCCCAAAATAAACTGCTCCGAAAATGCTGTTACTGTAAGCTGCAGTAACTGCTTGATGCTTGGAACACCAAGGGGTGCCCCTGTTACCTGTGGGAACATGTCAAGGAGGTACGCAATCATCTCCAGTGCAGATTCTCTTCCAGTCTCATACTCGTACCTGTGAGGAGATGACTAATGGTCAGGGCTGGGGTAATACTCTACAAAGTTGCTTACAATTTACAAGAATGGCCAATGCCAGGAACAGACACTGACAGGGATTTTTCTATAACAGCTGCCATACATGGTCTGATCCTTAGGAGAAGAGAAGCAATAGGCCCATCAGCTCCATCTCCCAGAGAATGGGCACAGAGACACAAGCAGGCGAAAAAGGGCTCCAGCCAACTCGAGTCAGCACAGCCACACTTGCGCTAAGGTGCTGGGGAACATGGTAAACTACTGTCACCTTGAGCAAGGGAGGGGTCATGTTCAGAAGGAGGTTTCGGGAACAGTGCTCCTGCGGAATTGGTGCAGTTGATCTCAACTGTGCCTGCAACTGCAGTTGAGACCACTGCCAGAGGACAGCAGTCATATAAATGCACCTTCCCTTACTCTTTCTGGATTTTCCAGTTCACCTGGTTTACAACCAGTAGAGCTGGTTAACCACTAGGCAAACAATAGAAAGTTGGCTTACGAAGAGATGAAGAACAAAGCCAGCTGTGAAACAGGGAAGAGAAAAAGGGCTTGCTTTATCAAACAGCCCATCTCTGAAAGAGAAGTGTTTTAGAGATAGGAAAATGAAGACTTCAGCCACACCCTCTGTTCCTCACAAACAGCCCTTTGGCACACAAGGTGGCCACTAAAGTCGTATTTAAGCAACAAGGTTCTATTCTGACAGAGATGTTGGGGAATATAAACTCACTCCAGTTGTGCAAGTATGAAATCCAAATTGGGTTTCAGCTTTTCACCAAGAGGGTAGTCCAGAATATATTTTAAGTAAATCTGGAAAGAAAAAACAACACAGAAAGTAGTTACAAGAAACAGAAAAAGCCTGTAAAAAAGTTATGAAGAAAATTTAGTAGTGGAGCAGCAAGTTTATGAGAATCATCCCTTTCATCCCATTCCTATTACACAAGGAGTCAACAACTGCTCTTAAGCTCTGTGCCCAGAACAAGATCTGCAGGCGTTTTGACAACTGCCAGATCAGTCTTTAGAGTATTACTGTGATTTGCACAGGCTTCTGTTAAGAGAGATTCTGCATCCTTCAAAATTCATGGATCTGTGGCAAATTCCTTTCTATTGGGATTCAGAAAAGGGCAAGGCTCTTTGTTACATGGGCCTAAAAGCCTCCAAAGAAGGGACCACCTCACTGCTGCTGAGCAGCCCTCTGAAGATACACCATGGCGAGCAGTCTCATTATAGGCAAGCAGTCTGTGATTCTGCTATGCACCAGTCACAAGAACTGAAGCCAACCACATAACAAAGGGAGCAAGGATTAATAAGGAGGGGAAATGGGGTTAGGGGTTCACAGCAGGTTTAAGGCACACATCTGTGAGATCCGGGATGGCCACACTAAACCCTCTAGAGCGTTAGACAGCTCTAAGTAAAGCAAGATGAGAGACTTTCCATTCTACTAACCTGCCTGCACTGGACTCGTACTGGCTCACTCTGACCCGTGATAGCCAGCTGGGCAACCTTCTGCAGCACATCATCAATTTCGGGGACAATGAGCTTCCTGGATAAAATAGCCTGAAAACATGAAAGTACAGGTGAAATATTTTGCTTGTACAGTATGAGATGCAGTACTATAACCTGGGACTTTACCAGCCTCACACTAACACTGACTTTTTCACATCTTCAAACATAGCCAGAGCAACTTTAAAAAAAAAAAAAAAAAAGGTGGCTTACAAATCCATATCTGTTTCTTTTCGATGATACAGAATACCTGGACTAATGATTAGAAACGTCAATTCTTTAGGAAAAACATCCTCAGATCCAAATACATCATCATAACCCTCACATACGTGTGCATAAAACAGCCTCCCAAACAGTTCTGAAGAGTGACTACAAGTCAAATGGGAAAACTTTGTTGCTTTTTCCCTCCTTAGAACAGAGAGCCTTAACAGCATTCTGTGGTCTGTTCCTGACATGAGATCATACAGCCTTTCCCCAAGAAGCAGAATCACTGCTATTCCCACAGCTCACAGAACCCATAGGCCTGCTGCACATAAATACCTTGAGAAGGCCAAAGGCAGTGGCTTGACGTGATGAATCATAAATGTCTTCTTCAGCAAAGCCAAGCAACACTTGGAGCTGTTTGCTTGTTATCTGACTCTTTGCATTCTTCACAAGTATTGTTACACACTATAAAATCAAATTGCACATTGTTAATACATATGCAGTGGCATAAAATATAAGCCCACACCAAAGCCTGACTGTTTATATCGTTTAGGTTTGAAAAGATGAACTGCTGCTCTGAAACATGCAGCTAACACTGTTCTCACTATGTTTTGCTTTCAGCTGGCAATTTTGAGACAAAAACTAAACACAAGCAAATACACAAATTCAGACTAGTCGTTGAAATGAGTGGGGATGCTCATAGACATGAACCATGACACAGGAACACTGTCAGGAAGAGGCAAAAATTATTCTGGCACTGACATTCAGCATGAATTATTCTTAACTTTCCCTTATGATCATGAACCTGTAATTAATTCAGCAATGCATTTAGAAGACATCTATGGGAAGGCACTGCATACTCTAAGTGTAGTTATTACTATTATTAATTGCCCCTTTCCCTTGTCTCATTTCAGCTTCCAGGGTTTACTCCTATGAATCATGTTAAAAGCAAGCTATTCAAGTACAAAACTGACACCTCTCAAAAGACAAGGTGGTAACAAGATACTATTCTAAGGATGAAAGAAGGCAAATAATATTTTATAAAAACATTTCTTTGGATCCAAGCTGTGCAATTTGAGGTAGTACCTTTCTTTAAGTTTGCACTTGGGAAAGTATCAGCAAGGTCACATTTCCATCACTACCTTCTGATCTCCAGACTACCTCTCCAGGGACAGCTGTGGGACAGATCTGTGGTTGGAAGAGTCTCATTCTACAAAGTTAATCCTGAAGTAGAAAACAGGAAAACTGGGTCTGACTTACTTTGAAACAGCTCACAACCAGGTGGAAATTCTGGCCTTTGGCTATTCCTGTCTTTGCAAATTCTTTCAGTAAGAGGAAAAGCTGCTTAATGAGTTGCTCCAGATTTGTACTGACAGAAGGCAAAGGGAACTTTAAAATCCATACTAAAGACTGTAGAGCACCAGTTATCACCTGTATGAAAGAGTCATAGGACATGTGTGGGTACAGTGACAGAGAACACTTTTCTTGGCCCATCTGCAACTGTGGTAAAAGGCAATGAGCTAACAAAATTAACCTCTTTGAAGCCATTCATATGTAATACAAAGGTTTCCCAGTTCTAAAACCACTACTTGCCACTCCCTAATTCTTTAACTTTGATTTTACTAGGTAAAGACATTAACACAGTGCAGATTCAGTAGATGGCAGGAACTCTTTCTGAAGCAGTGGTGCCTTCAAGGCATAGAAGTTGCTCTGCCAAAAACCCCGGATCACCTGAAAGCCCTGCTCCAGGTATCCGATAGCGAATGAGGCATGCTTTCCATTCCCAGAAAACTTAAGGTTTAACAGCCTCCCTCCTAGGTTCACTTAAACCCAAAGCTGCTGAAAAAGGAGACTGCCTTGGTGCTAGGAAAGACACTGGAGTTGGATCAAAAGAAACCACAGTTGTGACAACACTGCTTCCAGCAGCCACAGGACCTCATGAACCTCCATACAGACAGCCCACGAAGTCTGCAAAGTCCCTCTATGAACATGCTCCAGGAGAACTTGTCCATACTTGAACCTGCAGCACTAGAGGTAAAGCATTCAGTCCACCATCAGCCACAATCCCTCCCCCCCTTGGGATACCATGTCCTCAAACATCTTAATCTGCATACCTATGAAATCAGGTATGAGAACTGGATGGCTTTCTTGTCTCTTGCAGATCAACTGCAAGACAACATTTGTGGGCAGGACCCTTCTTAGTAGAACAGAGAGGCTCCAGATCAGAACTGTACCTTGACATCCATAGATTTCAGGCAGTCTATAAGCAGCTGAACAAAAGGGTCTAACATTTCCAAAGCATGCTCCTCAGAAGAATTTACTTTGGACCTCTTCAGGCTCATGTGCAGCAGCTGACATAGAAATCACAGGACATTCATCTCAAAGTCAGGCTGGGACTCAAATAAATCAAGTAAGGTCCTACACATTGTTTCAGGTTATAGCAGAATTTATGCCATACCCCATTCAAACACCTGCAACAGGCTGAGCACTTTTTATAGCTCTCTAAGAGGCACCACTGGAGTTACCACATGCAAAATAAAGTTAAGGCTAGTGGCTGTGTCATTAACACAATATATCCAGAACACCTTCCTCTGAACACTCTTAGCAAAAACTTTTATTACAAAAGCTTTGTATCTGAGGAGATCCTTACCCGAAGTCCTGAATCAACCAAGATACACATGTTAGTTCTGCTGCTGACACGTGCTTTCTGCCCTCCTCTCATCGGAGTGGGTTGGAGCAGCAGGCAGCTCTCTGGTTGCAGCCGAGGATCTGGAGGAGGGTCAACTTTTTTTCTGAAAAGCAGCATGGCAAAGTATAATATTCATATTTCAGCTCCCTCCACAACAAGCTTTTTGTTGGGAGCAAAGAGAGCTGGACTGTGCTCAGCTGCTACCCACACAACAAGCAAAAGCAGGTCACAGCCAGAACACAATGAAATAAAACAAACTTGAGAGCAGTCTGACAGATGGGACTCTCAGACTGGAGAACCCTGTCACTATTATGAAGATAACAAATTCACACTGATTTGCAGAACATCCCCACTTTTTTCTTCTGGTGGACAGAACAACTTTGGTAGTTCCTTAAAGCAAATAGTACCTCCTGACACTGCATTTTATTTACTGATACTTCAATTTCTGATGGCTTACAAAAATTGCCCCAAGTAGTCTGCAAACAGCTATCAGATGCTAGAGGAAGCCAGTCTACGTAACAGGAAATGCAAGATGCCCAGATGCTGCTCTGAGAAGGGACACCACCAGACAGAGAAGAAATCTGATGGTTCTCCCTCACTTCTGCACCAGCACTGAAGCGATAAAGTGACAGCCCACAGATCCTATTACTCCTGACCCCATGAAAATGTCCAGAACCTCAAACACCTCTTATATGGCATTTTGTAGCTCACTTCTAAACACAGCCCCTCAGCCCTTCATCCAAACACCCAATTGCATACACCAGCTTACCAGATAGTGAAAAAACCTTGCTGAAGACTCTGAGTACTCACAAGAGTAGTCTCATGAGTTCAGCAAGTGCTCACTCCCATTTTGAAGCTTTCACCTTCACTTCTGACTGCCCAAATAGTTGACTTACATTGAAAACAAGAGGCAAATAAATGCAAGGAAACTCTCATAAATTTGACTGGTTGGACTTGAGAGCTGCCATTTCTGCAAGCAAACCTCCCAACCCATAACAGACCATCTGGGTAACATCCTGGAACTCACTTGGCCTTCTCAGTGAGCAGAGGCAAGTTTTCACTGATGAGACCATGACTGAGGAGGAGGAGAGATTCTGCGTTCATGTCTGAATTGAAGATCAGCCCTGCCACGATGTGACGAAGTGCCTCATGCACCTTCCGGACTATCTTCAAGCTTGTGGTGCTCTCCAGAATCTACAAAGGCACAACCATGGAAGTCAGGAGAGCAACATGAGGGCAATGATCTGCTATCTGCATTCAGAAATCATGGGAAAAGACAGAGCAATTCCTCCCTCACCACATGCTGCTGGAAGTCCCCAGATCTATACATGAACAGCATCCCATCACCTCAGCTCTGCCCCAACATCCCTCCCTTTCTCTCCAGCCTCTTTTCAGTCTCCAGACAGTTCACTTATTGCCACCATTCCAGAGCTCATGAGCTAACCAGGGCTCCACTTCTGTGTGAGCCTGCACTCTACTCAAAACACTGCATCTCTGAAAAGTCAATTATTGCACATGGACAGACCCTGAATACATTTTGGAGGCATTTCCTTCACACACAAGAGATCAAATCACTGAGGAGTCTTGCAGGACTTCAGAGCTCCAGAGGAAACAAGATTTGGCAGAGGGAGAGGGCATGGAGAATTCATAGTGGGATGTTTCCTCTCCAGCAGACTGGAAGCTTCCCAGAATACCATTCCTTGCCCTGGACATCAATAGTAAATTCTCATTTTATGAGCTGGGTGCATACTGCTTTCCAAAAGAAAAATGGGAAGCCAAAGCAGGAATTTTATAGGTTATTTCACAGTAGCCACCCAGAGGCTCTAGAGTTTCTTTGAGACCATACAGAATTGAGAGTTAAGACAGACTCTGGCTGATTTTTCTTACCTCTTTCAGTGGCAGAATAAGTTTGGTCACCTGACCCTTTCCTATGAACTTTCCAAGAATTTCATAGGAATCGTAACTCTTGTTCTTGCGTGCTTCCATGACTTTGGAGACAATTCCCTTCACTTCCTTCTCTTCAGCTACATTCCCAAACAACTCTTGGTTGAAAATCTTTGGAAATCAGGCAAGAGAAGTGAATGAGAGGAGCAGAAAAGCAGAGGCAGATTCCTTCAGTAGCAGAACACTGTTCTTCCCCACTCAGAAAAAGTAATTCTCCAGGTTTCCCACAAATTATGTCTACATTTACTTTGTCATCATAAAACACCTAGTTTGAGCACACCAGGTGAGGACACTGTTCTCACACCATACAAGGAGTGAGACTACAGTCAGACCAAGACATCTAAATACACACCATCTGGGTGGCCAGCTGAACTCCTGGGCTCTGTGGACTGCACTGACAGATGTCTGTTGACTTGATCAGACATTTAGAGTACAGTTAGGTATCTTAATCTTGAAAACATTCCCTTTCAGGATGCAGGGCTCAGGATACAGCCCCAGAGATAGTCTGCTACTCTTCAAGGGGTCTGCTATGTCTTAGTAGAAAACAGTCTCCCTCCTTTGCAGAACATACACAATCAGCCCTGATCTCCACCAAGTCCAAGACAATCTACACAAAACCTTCTCCTCCCAGAACCTGCCCTAGGCATTTCATGATGCTTGTTCCTTCAGTCTTGAATAGCTTTTACCTCAATCAGGATATCTAAGCAGGGGTCCAAATCACCAGCACTGAGCCTGGTAGTAAGGCCCTTCAGTATCAGGTTCACAGTGAAAGTCAGCACATGGAGCTAGAGAAAGAGAGAACAGATCATGTTTCCAAACCCCTGTATAGAACTTTTTAGTAATACTGGATGGAGAGACTCCCATAGCAGAGACATCACAACTCACACACCGTACTTGAGCTCTCATTATAGGAAAATTTTAAAAAAATTAAAAGGACAAGAATCCTTGTACCAGCAGCAGGAAGAGGATCCCTGTCCCTCCACATACTGGCAGGAGGGCTGGAATCTCCACTTTCCCCAGTGCTCTTACTGATATTTCTAGGCTGTGCTAATTGGTGCTTTCACTGTTATAGCAACTAGAAGCTCATGCTATCCCACTGTGGTAATTCACGTAGAAAATTATTCTTAAACCCAACCACCATGGAAAGAGGACAGATGAATTAATAGTCAGAGCCTTGGCTCCGGACCTAGGAAGCAAGACTTCAGTTAGCATCACCACATACTATCTGTGCAGTCTGTGGCAACTCACATCAGATGATGCTTGGCCCTAATGACCTTACTGGAAAGATCACCACTAATCTCATTGGAACCAGAAATTCATCCTTCACATCCATACCTCATCTCTTCACTGGGAGGATGGAGATCCTCTCTTGTTTGCTGCTTAGACTCTAAGTTCTTTGGGTACAGACCCTCACTTGATACAATAAAGACTGATGTTGGCACTAGCAATAGTATCCAGCTGTATTATACCAAGCTATTCTACCAGTGCAAAACAATTTCAGTAGCGACTTCCCTTCAAATTCTCCTCCTAACACATGAAAAAAAAAAAAACCTACAGAGAGCAGAAGAGGAAGAATTTCAGTATTACCTGGTACCCATGGACAAGAGTGGACTGCATCTCTTTTAAGATGTACAGAAGGTACTGCACTCCCAACACTTCCATGATTTTAATGAGGGTGTTACGGGCAATGTCCCGGATTTCCTGAAATCTGTTCCTCAGAAATGTGCAAACTTTCAGCAGGATGCTGAAAACAGAGATAGACAACTTAGTTCATCCCCAAACAGAGCAGAACTAATTATACTGCAGGCTAAGGAGTCTGCTTTTCAGGGCTGTTTTACAACCAGAGCTACACTCACGACCAGCCTCACAGAAAGTCATACACATAGAGACATACACACACCTCCCATCCTTCAAGATATTTCACTGATTGTCTTTTCTTCCTGTACATTATTCCTCCCCCTGGCTCCGCCCCCCATATCTCTGCACCTTGCTTCACAGCTCTGCTCTTATTTAAGGATTTACCAAATTCCTTTCAAACTTAGCTTTACAGAAGTCAAAAGTTGACAAGAGGGGAATGTCACTAGGAAAATGAGTTTCCAAAAAAAGTATTTAAGGACTATTAAGATGCCCCTCTTGGATTTAGCCTTGTACATAACCATAACTTGAGAAAGGTACCTGCACTCATTCCCAGCACAATGAACAACATTTAAGGAGTTCCGATGCAATTTACCTTGGCAGGTTGGCTTCCATCACTTCTTGGGGAAGACATTGCATCATCCTGACCATCGCAAAAGCTAATGGAACACGAACTACCTCATCATCATTCACAACATTGGATTTCACAAGTTTGTGTTCTTCATCTCTTTTAACCTTTTTAATAGAGCAAGACACAATACACTTTTAATATACATAAACAAATCCTGCTTTTTCTCAACAAACCCTAAGAAGAAGCTACAAGGCAAGTTGCTATCCTCTGCTGACTACAGGAAAAACCCAGACTGATAAAGGACGAGATAAATCCTTGTGTTTTCAGTACAGAATGGAAGTTGGGTGCCAGCTAGTGGCTGACAACTTTTCAACAGGCTGTACAAAGTGAATCAAGCCATGTTTCAGCAAGGAACTAGACACCACTCCCACACTGACCAGAGGGTCTGTCAGTAATCTCCATGACACAGCAATGGGGATGAAGCCCCTTTTGTGCTTTCAGGTAGTCTCTCTCCAGTTGCTTCTTTTTTTTTTTTTTTTGTGCTGCATTTCCACTGGCTCTAAAGTAGCACCCCAACTTTTACAGTAGCAGAAAAGGCCTGCAAAATGCCCTTCCAACATAAACTCCTCACCTTTGCAACAATACACCTGTGCAATTTAGGCAAGATGTTGACTGTAACCGTATCCTGAATGTGTTTGATGAGACACTCCAGCTCCTCTTTATTTCGGGGTAAGAAACAAACAGGTTTGGTCACTTGATCAGCATCTTCAGATGTCTCATCTGCTTGCTGAGGTTCTGCTGGCTCCTCAGGGAGATTCTTCCCTTTCTTTTCCTCCACAACCTCCTCTTTTCCTTCACTCTGCTCCAGCTCCATGGCTTCTTCAGCCTCCACCACTGGCTCAAGGTCCATGGCAGCAGCTTCTGTCAAATAATTGTCAAAAGCACAGGTAAATATAGGAGGCCAAATATATTGAGCCCTCAAGAGACTCTTGTGATGGCTCTGTTCTTGACAACACTCCTACCTATCATCAGCTACAGCAAACAATCAGTAATCATCAGAATTGTTTTACCAGGTCAAGAAGCTCTGGCATGCACATTTCTGATAATCACTCCACAGGGCTAGGCTTAAAGCGAAGACTAGGTTACTCTTTGGCTGAACCCCATAGACAGCTTAGAAAGGTCAATGTGCTTGAATCTTAGAGAACTGTCATTCACTTACATTTGAGAATTTCACAAGGCAGGAGGTACTGACAGGCACAGATGTGAGATACCCTCGTTTTTTCTCAGAATATCCCAAAGGCCACAACATAGGTAACCACAATGGTGAAGAAGCCAAAGATATCACTCCTTCCCATGAAATGGCAGGGGAAGCAAGGCAAGGACATACAGCCCTATTCTCAGGCTGCAGATAACTATGAGAGCAGTCAACATCAAGGACAAAAAACTCAGATGTGTCAGCAGCCACATGGGTGGATGCAGACCTTGAAGAAAACCCCAGATTTGCATAAATTCAGGCCTGGCTGTTTTGGCTTATGGAGACTTAATGTGAAGATGGTTCCCCTCACCTCTCCTCACTTTGTCAACATGCAGGAGGACAGACTGCATTGCTCCTGAGGAAGGCAAATCAAAACTAGCTTCCAGCGTACACATTTTAAAAAGCTGGGGGTAGCTGACCTCAAGAGTAAAACACAAAATTTTGATTAGCTGCTCTTGGAGCAGTTAGAGAAAGCTTTTCTACAATCAGGAGCAGAAAGCTTACCTTGGTTGTCAATGGTCAAAAGCTGCTTTTCAAGTGTTTCATGGTCAAAGTGAAAAGCTTCCAGCACTGTCTCTAACAAGCTGCGGAAGGAAAACACAAAGAGAGATCAGACCTCCACACAAAAAGGAGAGGCTTCATAGATGAACACAACATAAAATCTTCAAAGTACTTGTTGGAAAACTTCAGACTCAGCAATGCTGCAGCATAAGGAGGTTTATCCTGAAATAACAACCCAGTAAATAATCTTTTCAGCTAGATGCATTGTGTGACCTAGCTCACTGTAAAGTCTTGCAGACAGTGGTACTGGAGCAATGGAGGTGACCCAGGAACAGGGACAGCCTGACAGATAGAAGCTGGTAATGCCAGCATGCACTCAGTAAGACACAGCATGAGAAAGTAATGACAATCCTTCAGTAGTTGTAAGCTGCAAGGCCATACCCACTTTCACTTGCATAAGCCGACCTCAAAGTTGTCAGTCTCTCATTCCAGGGGAGGGGCTAAAATCCATGTGATGCTCCTTAAGACACTGAATTTTGCCTTTGGTGAAATCTAAAGCAGCACCACTCTTAGTACCTACCTGACTCCCAGCTTCGGACTGATCTGTCCTGTTTGGAGGACATGGATGAAATGCTTTAAGTGGTACAAGTAAGATGACCAAGAGAGATGTCGGCAGACAGCTCCAACAACTTCAACTGAGGCTGTTACCATATTTTCATGCTGCCCAAAAGATAGAAATTCAGTTGCTGTTAGTATTCATGATGAACATGTCTCTAAAACATACTTTATTCAGAGCAACAAGAGCCACAAGTAGTAATGTCTCTCTAGTGGAGATACTTGGTATTCAGCTTTTCTAGATCTCTTCCTGATCAACAGGTAAAAAAAACATCATAGCTATACAAGCAGATCTGCAGACCACCTCCTCCAAATATTTCTGCACATAAATTTAACTTGTCTCACATAACTGAATCTGTGGGCTCACCTGTGTTAAGAACTAAAAAAGAGTCATCTAACCATTGCACACTGCTGGGCTACACTGATCCACTAGAAATACACATCATTAACCCATTTCTGATGTGAAACAAAATGTGTTTGTTTCTTCACTAAGGTTTCTATCAACTCATTTTACCTCCCATTGGTTAAAGAGCGATTGCAGTCACTCTACTGATGGGCATAGTCTGTATGGATACAGGTGCTGAGTTCTGTGACCAAGCTGTAATTGTTTCAGCTTCAGAAGAATATTTCAGACAGTGAGCGAATTAGACATTAGTCTGACAAACAGCTCTGCTGTTCTCCCAGTAGTGGGCAGGGAACTACAGAAGTGTGAAACCTTGCTTTTCCAAGTCACAAGTAGAAAGTCTATCCACATTGACATTACACTTCATTTGTTTTCAATAAAATGTATGGAAAGTAACTGACAAAACATCACCCTTCAAACTTAAAATTATAAAGCTGCTAATGACTTGAGGTTTTCAGGCAATTTCTGCAGTTTCCCTGTAACTCTATAGAAAACAGTGTTTATTCCCACCTCAATTACTAGGCACAGCCTATGTTCCCCACCACACACATTCTGTTGCCAGACAGTAACTAATCTCACAGCTGAACAGTAAGAGAGCAGTCTGAAGGCGGAGGGGAAAAAAATAATAATCTGATTATAAAAAATGCAAACAAGTATAACCCCAAGACAAAAACCAAAGCAACAACAACAAAAAAAACCACCCCACCCTAACCCCCAAACAGTTAAGAGATCCACCTTCGAGAAACAGTACAGGTTTAGCAGATACAAGATTGGGCCCAAACTGCATCTGCACCTTCCAAATCATTTTTCTGCCACCAGAAGCAGCACAGCACTCTCGTCTGAAAGGGGAACACTCCACAAACGTATCAGCCTTTTCAAGTGGTTAGTCTTTTAAGTAAAATGGTATACAAGAAAGGTAAAAATATTCAAATGAATGCATTAATTTGAAAGCCTACCTTAAGCATTTTTTCATTAAAAATGGCAGTAGTAGCGTAAGGCATGATGTAGTTCTGCAGGGATTTAGAAGACAGCACAACCTTTTTTTCACCAAGATGCTTAGCCAGTTTCCTCAGAGCTCGTGCCCTTCTGTGGATCTGAGCCAAACATGAGACAATGAATGAGGTGGTGCTTGAGTCACAGCTAGCATGAGGGAGCATATACATTCAGCAGTTCTGAAAATGCCTCAATTTTAAGTAATAACATAAACATATTATGGTCATTTCCAAGGACAGACCATGTCCTTTTCCTTCAGTCTCTGGGCTTTCACTAGACTTTTGTCTCAAATATTCCAACTCAATGGGATATTTCACTGTGAATTTACAATCATAAGACTGTGTCATCTTCAGATATCAGACAAGGGAGGCAATGGATACAAGATAAGAAGGCCTGATAAAATTAGAAGGAAAAAAATTAAGACTCTACACATAACTAGATGTAGCAAAGGCTCTTTGATTGCATCTCTGAAAGCGGGAGAAACATTATATTTTCATACTGCAAGAAAAAACAGACCAGGCTTTTTGCAATATTTGTATTACACAGGTCTGTGAATGAAAAGGGGCTGCAGAGCCTCCAGACAGAGTAGAACAGAACAGGCTAGAAAAGACAAAAAGACCAGAGGGATCCTCAGGACACTGTTGCTGACTGTGGGCTGAGTCACAAACAGGTTGTAATATGGAGCTGCCTGCTCAAGATCATGAACAATTACTTAAAATGAAAGCAGTTCTTTCAGCTAAATTAGGAAGAGGTAAAAAACAGTGCTACGAAATCATAAAGCTAAGAAATTTCTAGATAGAAATAGGACTTTGACTCCCAATTGCCCATGTGACGATGCCCACATCCCTTTTTTTTAACAATATCTAATGACACAGGTTCAATTTCTCTGTGAAGACAGAACAAAAGCTTTGGAAAACGTTATCCGACAGCAAAATGCTTTTGCTTTTACATGCAGAGAGAGACACTAGGGAATGTCTGTCGCCTTTCACCTGCATGTGTTTCATATTCTCAAAGAAGTCCATGTCAGGATCGTGGCGGTTGGTCAACTGGACCAAATCCCGGAATTCAGAATTTGCTGGGAATGTTTGAATGAGGCAGGAAAGCAACGATGTGTAGTCCTGCTGGATGCTCTGCAAACAGGAAGCAGTAAATGTTAAGTAGCCCTTGAAAAGGTTGCTATACATTCCTCAGAACAGCAGTGCTGTCATTTACAAGTGTTTTGGGACAACAAGTCCTTTGGTAATACCAAACACACCTGTATTTTGGACAGCATACAAATTAAAGTCTCCCCTCCAAAGAATGAGCTACAGCTAAGAAAAGCTGAACAATGGCAAAGAAACAAGACAGCTGAGTTCTGCAAATTTTTAGATTTTTGTAAGACTTCAAATGAAGTGTAAGTTTACAGTGGGTATCTGCACTTCTTGTCCCAGCAAGGGACTCAGAGAACTCAGCCATAAAATGCCTCATATACCTCGGTGTCCTGAAGACAGCTGGAAATGTGTAATCATGATAGCATTGCCTTACCTCAGTTTTACTCTTCAGCCCTCTTCTCACAGACTCCAGGAGAGTCTGCTGAATTAGCTCCTTGTACTCATCTTCTGTGTGGTCGATCTCTGCCAGTCGGTGGATAAAACCGGTCAAGCAAAGGCTTGCGTTGTAACTAAGAGCCATATCCCCTAGCTGAGTGGATGAAGAAATTGTACCACATGAGTCTGGATATGACACCTTTTTCCCCAAAACTCCATTGGACAGAACAAGGCCTGTAGAGACCCAGTAACTCTTGAGACCCTTCCTGTAGAAGTTCCTAGTCTGAATTGATGCCCACCCTTCCAATCAGGAAAAATCTGTCTAGATTTACCAGCAGGCTCATATAACCAGAACATGCTGCAACAAAAAGAAAAGCAACCTTTCAAGACTCTAATATGCCCTTTATATAGCACAAAATGACTGAACAATTCCAGGGCTCACTGACAGGTGCACTGTGCTTGGGTGAGCCTTCTTGCTACATTGCATTTGGCCACCTGGACACACAGCTGAAAAGGCAAGTGGACAAAATGAAAACAAGTGTTTCTAAGAAGACTCTTACAAACTAATGTGCTAAATAAGCTCTCTGAATCTTTCACAGTGTTATTAATGGAAATAATTAGGAAGTCAGATTAATCATGAACACATGGTGCACAAAGCAAGAGAAGGAACATTCAGCCAACCTGGATGGTATAGAAGCAGTTGTGCATAACGGAGATGAGGAAGTTGACATCCACTGCCTGCATTTCCTTGATGTGGGCTGTGATTGACTGGAATGCCGACAGACGTACATCAAAGTCGATATCATCGAGATGTCGTTGATCAAAGGCATTCAGCTAAGTCAGAGCAACATAAAATTCATGAAAAATGCCAGAAACATGACAATACAATGTTGGGGGAAAAAGTGAGCAAAGAAACTGTGCATACCTTAACAACATCAGTAATATACTTCAATTCGCTGTCCAAATCAGATAAAGTCTAAAAAGGAACATAAAAGAAAATCATTTAACTGTTATAGTTATTAAAAAGTTGGAGAAGTCAAGACTTTACCACTTGAGACCAAAAAAAAAAAATCAAGCAACAGCATCAATCTTTCTCCTGTTAGAAGCTTAATAAGAGTTACTCTTCCATAAATTGGAAGATGTGTGTTTCTAAATATCTACACTGAATGCTTCCTGGGTTTTCCAGCTGAAAAAAAAGTTGAGTCACTTCAAAGAAATAACAAAACAGCCTGACTACTGTAAACCTGTGAGAGAACAATACAAATAAAAATCACCTTCAGGATGCCGAAATCTATTCTTATTTCATAAAGATGCAGGTTTTGTTACAGATGAAGTATGCTTTATTTGGCTTCTCTTAACACAAAAGAACCCTGGTGATGCTCACATCAGCCAGGCTTGTAAACCAAAATTCTACAAATCTTCATGCAGTATATTACGTTCTATCATATACAATTTCTGTTACTTTAAGTTAACAAACGATGTAGAATTAAAAATGTTTTTAAGCTCATGTACAACAAAGATAAATACTATTTATTTTGTTCTTGATCTCTTAAAACAAGTGAAAAAAGCACATAAAGACATGTAAAAACGCAATACCTGAAAGACCAAGCATAATTTATGTCGAGACAGTTTGTTCTGGATGACAGAAAAAAGCTTTGCCAGTGGTTTGAGAAAGCTCGTAGGATCTGAGCAATGCCTCAGCAAGTTCTGCACTGTCTCCAGAATGTCAATCTCTGTACCCTGAAAGAGACAGATAACTGTCAATAAATACTGAAACCTCAGAGGGTTATTTAATTTTCTTAGAAAATATTCCAAGACTTGATTTCAGGCTAATCATGAGAACTGGCATGTAATCAATATGACTTTTAACTGCATCTTAAACAAATATGGTTTTTTTTTATTAAAGTATATGTTTAATGGGTGGGAGAAGTAATTTCTACATACCTGCTCCATGTTACTCTGATGAAGGAAAGGAAGAAGAAGACTCACAAGCACTGAATTCTGACTCTTTTCTTGTATAAATTTGCTGATCCTGCACAGAGACAAGGTAATTTACTATTTTATATCAATGCAATCACCAGTACAGAGCAAAGAACAACTCAGCCAGTACTAGCGCCATATCACAGAGCTCTGTCAGCCCATCCAGGCTAATCGACTGTACCTACCAAAATCATGGTATCAGCCCAAGTTCCACGTGACTATACTACTACATTCAGTTCCACGTGACTATAGGCATTTCTGTACCCTTTCCTGCCCCCAAGAGGCATTGGTTTTGAGTACCAGCGACAGAAACATCTAGAATCAATTTTTGAAAACTTTTTGTCTCTGTCACCAGCAACTTGCAATCCAGGAGTTCACAAATGTACTAAGTTTAAATAGTTTTGAGACAATGTTTTTTAATTTGGAACCTATTACAAAAAGCCTCTTTCTTCCTCCCTCCTTCCAACTTTAACTGTTGTGAGCTCTAAAGAATCACTTACTTAGAAAGTATACTCAGCTCTTTGCTGACTTGAGCTCTGTATTTCTTCTTTTTCACCTTCTCCACATTCAACATTGTTTTGCTGAAGTACTGAAGTATGGCAGGAACATGAGGCAGAACCAAGCGGCAACCTAGGCTGAGGGTCTCTGTAAAGGATATAACAGTTAGCAACACCCAACTTTGTGCTGCAACCAACAGCAGGGAGATCCAACCCTACACAAATGAAGGGGGAAATGCAGACAAAGGAGGTTTCATCAGTGGAAGAAAAATGGGAGCTATGAACGTGCAGGGCAGCTGGCTGCTAGGAACATGCACCAGCACTTGCTGAGATCAAGTCTAATGTGCCTGAGCTGGGACTAAAGAAAGCACACACAATTCTCCTCACAGATATTACTAATAGCCCTGGTAAGTGTGGGCTTATCAAAAGGTACCAAGAACGCTCCTCAACGGTAGTAACCATCTCCTAAAATGGCTGGAGCATTTACAGATGTAGTTTTCTTTCTTCTATGACTAACCTCTTGTGCAAATCAAAGGTGCCATAACAAGGGAACAGCAGTAAGTGCTCTCCTTTCCATTACCTTTGAGTGTTACAGGTGAAAAATGGCTCCACAGCATCAAACACAGCACACCACCCTTCATGCCTTCTACCACTCAAAGCTAAAAGAAATCAATGGCAGGTCTTCATTGTCAGGGAGCACAGACTAAACATCAAAGTGATACATGACCATGTGCATATGGGGAGTAGGCTTTTATATAAAACCTGATGTTAGGCTCAGAGTCAAGTCAGCAATGCAATTTTTGAAGTTATCACATCAGCCAAAGCTTTACAGACAAATCAGGTCAACAAAGTATTTTTCTTCTTAATGAATTTCTCCATGCTTAGGACCCTGACATTCAAATGTGGATCTCACCAGTCATTAGACAAGCAGAACTTGACAGTTCTTGGTCATGCCCAAGACAAATGTGTACACTGACGTTTCCTTCTCCACTGGGAGGTCTCCTCCCCTGGTATTCTCAAGCCAGTGCAAGGACAACCTCCTCATAATCTAACACCTCTGTCCAAGGCACCCAATGCTTACACAGACATACCTTCTGTCACATCTCCAGTGACTACGACAACACAGTCAGTCACGCTCAAACTCGAAACCTGCCCCGTGGGTTTGAAATCTGGGCTGTTGAGAAGGCTATCAGCTATGTCCATCACAAGACTGGATGTGGCCTCAGATAGATTCTTGGCTGACAGCACAGCAAATACATTTGATAGTATATCACACTCTGGGTGATCTGGCTGCTGCTTGGCCAGCAAGGGGAAATACCTGAGAGAAAGATTATAAAAAAGGTTGGCTGAAAATTAAGTTCAGAATTTTATAATTCTTTTGTACAAAGAGTGTCACAAAAAGATAGTGATTGCTTTCTACTTCAAACAAGGAAAAAGTACCAAAAAAATTGCAGAACAGTGTAATGAAAAATAGAATGGAGGTTGAGAGGTCAACAAGTCCCTTTTCTTGCTTCAAGATAACATCCTCTAAACTTAATCCTTTCTCCATAGATGTGTGTCCAAGTCACCTGTTAGTCTGCTCCTAACCTAATGATCCAATACCATTTTTCACAGTAGTTTGTATGAAGATCTTCATGCCTACAAATGACAAATCTTAAAACAGATACCAGATACTTCAGCAAAGGAAAATCAGCGAGTCTGTGGAAGAGGCAAAAATCACTCAAGACAGCTGAGCTGGAACTTCTCAATGTCTGCATCAAAAAAAAGCTCTCTTACAACTTTCAGTATCAGAATCTCAGTTACAGATTCTCTACTAAACCTGCCCACATTCTTTCATAAAATAGAAAGAAATAGGGAATTAGAACACATGAATGAAATGATGCATTGCAAAACTGACTTTCCACTTCCCAAGATTAAGTGGTCACTGGTCAAGACACAGACATATAGTAAGAAGACAGCCCTCCTCTTCACCAGTCAACTAGGTTTGGACTAGGTATGTGCTTAGTTGTTAATACATGGGAAAAGCAGCCCACTAAAAAGAGAGAGTAATTGCATAAATTAAGAGCATCTGGACTGTTATCAAAAGAATAACAGTCTAATTGAAAAAAAAAGTATGGGTTTTGACACAATTATTCATAATGTGCTCTTTTTTCCTTTAATTTTGTGTACTCAAGATGTACTTACACTTCTTTGCAAAGAGAACACTTACCTGGGATTCTTACTCCAAGTGTGAATGAGTTTGAGGAGAAAAGTTGGAGAATACTGACTCTCTGAAGCCAATCTGCAGACCTAAAGGAGATAAAAAAATCAGACACTAATGCAACATGAGTAGATAAAGCCACTTAAAAACCTAATCTCTAATGAAAACCTCACTACAATCTATAGTTTACCTTTTCACGAAAGTAATATCATCCTTATTCCAGTTTCCTCAGTATTTGTGGAAACACTCTTAGATTATCTTACTCCTATTTATACATTATTCCAGCTACCATTTTTGCCCTCCCCTTGAAACTGGCTCCCTATGGATCCTCACATTTGCTGCAGACACCTAGCAACCTCTCCTGGACACAACCTATGAGATGTCAAGTGCAGCACCCAAGACTCACTCCTCTCACACCTCCTATGCCCTGGCCACAGCACCTGCCATTCCAGCATCTGCTCTATATCTCCATGGCCTCACTGCTATAAAACCAACCTCTCTGCTCAGGGAGAGGCTCAAGCATTGCACCCCAGGAATGGGATCTCCTAACAGAGTTCTGTGTCCAAAACAATCCCACGTGAGAATTGCCCAGCTTATGCCCCACACAGTAGCTGCCGCTCCTTCACGTGACAGAACACGGGCAGAAAGAGACCCAGTGCACAGGTCTGGCTCCCTCCTCTCTGCCACTCTGCAACTCAACAGGCTGCATGTAAGTCACACAGATGGGTTTCCACAGCAAGACCCCATCAGCAGGGCACTGTTAGTGAACACACAGGCAGGAGAAGCTCCAAAACATTCAGGGGCAACAGTCAGGATGGTGCATGTGGGGTTTGGACTAGCTCAGTCTGGGCTCAAGACCTGAGCACAACAGAAGACGTGGCATGTCTCATCATCATAGCAACGTTCTTAAAGCTTCTTCTGTCCCCAAATGCTGGTAATGTTATTGTTCTGCATAGAACAGCTTTTCTGTACAATGAAGAGTAAACCATTAACGCAATCCTGCAGGAATGCTGCTGTGCAGGCTAACGATATTGAGCCTCTGCAGCAAACTCCTGGGGTATGAAGAGCAACAAACTCCAGTTCCAAGTACAACAGGATTAAAATAATTTGCCCTCTCCACGAGATTTTATACACCTCATTCCCATAGGCTTAAAAAATGAAAGCACACAAGTTGAATGACTGTTCTGCCAAAACCACATCTTCATGGAGCTCACTGGTAGAGACACCCTCTAGAGGGAGCTTCTGGATCGTACTACCATCCAAGCTCCAAAATCTGTCTTCCTGACACCTCTAAGAGCAACAGGAATTCTAACTGTCAATAAATTTACACCTTGTTCAGATTTACTCAGCGTTTCCAAGAACAATGGTCCCCAAAAGCATTGCATGCTTTGCTGACTTAAAGCCCAAACCACATACTTGAACTGCTCCGGGACTGCAGTAAATGTTCACTGCCCTGCCCATGCCCTGGCCTCGAAAAGACTCCATCAACAAACCACCCACATACAACTCCCTGTTGCTCAGCCCAGTGAAATACAGAGCTATATGCACTGCCTGAAACTATGTTATCTGTTGTTTGTCCACATACAGGTACTACACATCACATACTGTTACTGGTAGAACGAAGAAACAGGGTAACAGTAAACAAACACAATGTCTAGAGAAGCACACTTACTCCTGCTGCTCTCTGACAGGCTCTCTGCTGCAAGGACACTGGACATGTGGATATGTTAAAAGCCTCAGTGGAAGAGCTCTACTGGAGTCAGACCATCTTGCTCAGTTACCCTTTGGGTGGAGGCAACTGCGTACAGAGCAGAGACAACCCAGCAGCTTGTACAGGCATTCCCTGATCATCTCAGAGCCCAGTGCACTAACACCGCCAGCACAATTTCGTTTAAAATACTGTGTATTCTCTCTTCCTCTCAACAGTGCATTTTCCCAACTCAGAGGTGATCTGAATTTCTCTGATGAAAGCCAGAACCCTACGCTTTGTTACAGTGGTCACACAGGACTCCCAGCAGGCAGGCTAAAGAGCACACAGCCCACTGACAGACTCTGCTGGGTCCTTCCTTTCCTGCCGCAGCATTTGTTTCTGCAGTTCCCTACCACAGTCCCAACAACCGTCACACAGAAAAGTAGCAAAGCCCACCTAGAAGTGACTATTATTATTTTGCTTCCCTGAAGCATCCAGGGAAGAAGTCTGCTTCTGTGGTTAAAGAACAAAGAAATGGCATCCATTTTATTCAGATTAATTAATTTGTACTTTAGCCTGTGACTTGATTATTCCAAGATTAATCAGACACGAGTCAAGAAACTGGCCTTGCACAGACACATCAGAATGGCAGAATCTGTCTGAGGCTGCACCCAATCTTGTGACGGACATAGCTGACACGGACCTCAGTGCAGCTGGAGTTCTCTGTGCGGAAGAACAAGGAATATTTACCTGAGGCCATACCACCGCATAGAAAATGGCATCAATCTCTTCCACACTAAAGCTGTAGGTCTCATAATCAGAAAAAAACTCTGCCACGAGCTTGAGTCCCAGACGTCTCAAATTCTTCAGTGGATTAATCAACCTAGGTTGGATCTGTAAAAATAAAACAAAAAAACCCACAACAGTAAGACTTTTGCAGAACAACTACTACTTGCTCTGAAATTAAATACAGCAATTCATTGACCACAGATACAACCTTTGCTGGAACCATCACAATGTTCTTCTGTTTCCCCCTGTAACTTGTTCACTGTAGCAATCTACCTATCATAGATGAGCTAATTTGTTTTAAGAGGTGCCTGTTCCTGCACTGAGTCAGTTACACAGGACTCCCACCAGCTCATGAAAATCCATGCTGACAGGTTTAAAGTAGCATCTGCCCTTTTTGGACTAAATGCAGAAAGCTAAACCACAGTTACAGTTTCAGCCCTGACACAATTCTGTTTTACACAGGAAAGGACCCAAACCAGCTCTCAAAAGCAAAATGGTGCTTTGCATACTGAGTTCTACTGGGAAGAAGAGAAATCAACAGACAAGAAGGGGGAGGAATAGAAAAGGCAAGAATGTGAATCACCTCCTCTAACAGTGTGGGGGGAATATAGCATTTACTTAAAGGAGGATGCTTCCTGTACCCACTCAGCAGTTATGTTCCACAGCCTTTCTTGGGGAACACATTTCAGTAAGAAAATCAGCCACACAGTTAATCATGAAGTTATTCATGCACTGCTGCATTCTGACTCTTCTCCCTGAGAAGAGTCTTGACTTGAGTAACCTAAATTATTTCCATGCTGTGCAATGCAGCTGACAGCACTAATATATGAGGTACTGAACTCCAGTCTCAGAAACAACAGAGCCATGTCAGAGCAAATAAAGGCTGCTGTCCAAGGCTGGAGCTATGTCCTGGGTTCCACAGGGTTTCCAACACATGTCATGATCCACCACACAGTATAAATACTCGTATCTCTTATTTTACAAAGCAGCTTTGGTGTCAAACCCTTACTGAAAGACATCACAATTTTTGTATTTGATGTATCTATGGACTTCTGAAGACACTAGCCTCCACCATGCAATGCGCTTCTATACTCCCTTTGCAGCCAAAGTCACAGGTAAAAACACAAAAAGGAGATGGTGGAAAAGGAACCAAACATGCTTTTGCCCAGGACCTCCCAAGCTGTGCTGAATGTGTACTAATGGTGTGCAATCAGCTTTCAGGCAGCAAATCAGCTGCTTGAAGGGCTAAAGAAAGCACAAACCGGGCTGCTACTGCTAATGGTGACCCCCAAGTGAAATAATCTTGGGTCTCCCACCGTTCAATCACCAAAAGATCAGTCCTCTGAGGTAAGTCTTTGAGAGGACAAAGAACCTCAATACTGAACACAATCAGTAGGAAATGGTGAATTAATAACTTGGATTAAAATGGTCAAAGGTGATGTTTAACTCTCCAGGCAGTATCAGTCTGCAATAAATTACTCTAAAAGTCCAAGAATGTCTTATAATCATTACCCAAGATAAACAGATTTCTCACACTCTTCCTTGAGCTTTTAACATCTCATGGCCTAATGAAGTGCTAAATTAAGTTCAAACAAATGACAGACTGTCACTCTGCACATTACACAATGACGACAATTACTGCAGTAACCCTAGCAAAATGCGACCATCCCAGCAACGAATGAAGTGGCTTTTAAAACTCCTTTCCCAGTGTAAAACATACAGGCACATGCAATCCATTGCTTAAGTCAGACTGTGGGAAGCTGCTGTCCTAAAATTTACTCATCCCCTTAAGAAATTAAGACAGTTACAAGGTTATCTACAGCCAGCAGGCCACTATGGGACCTTGGATGCTACCTGACTGCAAGGATGTTTGATGGACTGTTTTCAAGGCAAGTTCTAACCTCAAATACTCACTGATGAGCCTTGGCAAGAACACATGTGCATGGTACCAAAATATTTATTAATTACCTAACATCACTTGATCAGTCTATCATCACATAATTCCTTTTAACACTGCAGTGATGACGACAAGGACTGTGCAGTTTCCTTGTTTCACACCTAATATACCATCAGGTTCTGAACCAGTTCACACTTGAGCTTTCCTTTTCCTATTTGGATTGAAGCCTTGCAAAGGCATTGGTTTCAGAAAGACAGAAAAGCCTGGCTCAATGTCAGTTTCCAAACAGCTGGCAACAGAGTCCCTGAGCTAGCTGGGCTAGAGCTCATGGATCTCTGCACTGCTCTCCTGGGCACAGGGCAGCAGTAAGCCAAGATGTCCCATCTTTAGGTGCAGCCAATCTTTAACAGAATGTTTTCCTTACCTGACCCTTTTCTGCATGTACAGCCACTGCACAGCAAGGGAAAAAAAACATTCACAGTGCTCTTCAGATACCTGGCTGAGACCCAAATTGTGACACTGGATTAACATAACTACTGCTGCTAGAGCTGAACATGCTTCTCAAGTGCTGAAAGCATGGCTGGTAACCATGTTTTCCCTGTGTCCCAAGACAGAACACAATCACTGTAGATAATCACTGTGATCATCTACAACGCTGAGCTCCCCTGGGATCTAGTACTGCAACAACACACCTCAAAGATAAGTTTTGCTCTAAAGTCCTCAGGCAAGGAACTTTAATTCCTCTCCTTCCACTGCTCAAATGTTTTATCCTTGCAGCCAAGAAACCATCTTTAAGGCCAATTTCAACTTCCAGCCATAAGATCTTGTTATGTCGCTACAACAAATCATTTAGCTGTCCCTCAGGCCCATTTCTCCACAGAGCAGGCAGGTGGCAAGACACAGAGATCATCTCTAACTCTCTCTTCAGTAACTCAAAAATGCGGTCCAAAGCAGCTTTCTAAACACATTAATTCCGCCTGCATTTCCAGAGCACTTTCAGACAAATAACACTGCCCTCTATTCTGACATCTAATTGCCAAGCTTCACTCCATGCTGGCATTAAACTTATCTTTACCTGAACCAGTGAAGGTGTGTGTACATGTGCTAGCTAAGGAGAGGAGGGAAATAATTTAATTTACATGTTTGTACATAGTTTGCATGTATTGTACCTTCTCTCTTTGCTGGAGGATGCAGGATACCACAGCCGTCATGCAGAGCAGAATCTGTAGAATTTCAGGCAGATACCGATGGATCAAATGTCCCATGTTTTTCAACACAACTTCGAGACTGTTGAAGAGGCTATGCTGACGCCCAAGAGGCAGAACTTTAGCTAAATCTAGCTCTGACATACTTCGAAGCACTGCAGTCTGGCAAGGCCCTGCAATAGGCAAAGGGACAGAAATTTAGAGAAGCACCATGCAGATATTCAACACAAAAAATAATTTTCAATGAAAATAGTATAGTCTGGCCCTAAATTATTGATCATCACATTCAGCTTTTTAAATAATGACAGCTCTGAGTCTCCATCTCTCTGTGACACTCCGATATCTCCTACTGCTACAGCATCAGAGCACTTTACAACCTCCGTTTATTGCCATCATATGCAGGCTAGCCTATGAAGCCAGCGATTGCTCATTCCTGGCCTGCTACAGCTTACTTGGACAGCTGTAGAAAGTCATTCAGTTTTTCCTGAACTGTAAAACAAAGCAATAGTACTTTGTAAGGAAAAGCTCAGGGGAATCCCAGTCCTTATCAAAAATTTACTTTCATGCTTTTGTCCTTCCAAGGCACTGTCAGAGACAAACTGAAGCACATAACTACTAAGTGTATTTATCCTCCCACATGTCTACAGGTCAGGAAGTACCATACCCCCATGTTCTACTGCCTGTACCTACCATTACTGAATTGCTTCACAGCTTCAAAGAGTAGATCCAAGAACATCCGTATCTCTTCTGGCAGCGAGCCGGCAAGAAATCGCAGAACGATTGACATGCGAGTGCCTGCTGAAGACCTGCCCTGTGTTTTGCTCCCTGTTTTGTTTCTCATTCTGCCATAGAGAATTCTTCAAGAGCCAAAAAGAGGTTGCATTAGCTTTCAGCAAGCCACCTGTTTCCTAGCCTCTTATTCTGCAAGAGCAACTCCATTTAAAAATATTCTCTAGTGAGAAAAAGCTGAGTGGAAGTGTCCCCTTCAGGGTCTCCACTGAATTACTACGTATTGCCCCAAAACATCCCAGCAAAAGATCAGCTTCTGCTACTACAATGGAAGCTTTGCTTCGTTATCTGCATGATAACCTGCATCACTGTATCTTAATAAAAATCAGCAGCAATCTCAGTGAACTGCAATGTTCTCACAGTTCTCTGTAAGCCTTAGCAGAAACAGTGTTTAACAAAATACTGTTTTTAAAGAACAGATTACATAAATGCATTAATAAGAAAACCATACAGAACCCCACAAACTAAGTTGTCAAACTATACCATTAACCATAAGTTTATCTTAATTGTTTAAAACGAGAAGCAGCAGCATTACATCTCGCAGCAGCATTACATCTCTGCTCATGGTACTTTGACATGAAACTTTTAAACTCACACTTCATGACACACCTCATAAGAACAGGGATGAGATCTGGTCGATGCTCCACTTTTACTACTGAGGTCTCCTCAGAAATACTGAAATGGACTATTTCTTCTTTAAAACTCTTATCTTCCAGTAGCCTTTGTAAGTTCTCTCTGAGAGTAATAAACAGGGCAGGTAGGGGTTTATAAAAATAAATGCACATGCATCTGTATCTAATTACCCATCTATCTAATCTACTGTGATAAGATATTAAAGTACTGTGTTCCCACACTTTTTTCTAAAAATATTTTAAACCATCAAATTCAAGCTAATTCTGTAGAAAAGTACCTCCTGAACACATTCTGAAGAGACTATTCAACCACAAACTACACTTCTATGCTGTCACTTTATCTGGGTGGTTATAAATCATGAGTACAAAAGAACTTTTTGAAAATGCTGCAACTACCGAGCACTATTCTGGGACAGAATGGAAGTGTTGTCATTTTCCTCTAAACAAAAGAAAGACACTGACCAACCTTGAGATCTTTTTTCCAGTTTTAGATAGGAAACATACAGCTGGCTAAAATTAAAATTTCACAGAATCACAGAATCATCTAGGTTGGAAAGGACCCTGGAGATCATCTAGTCCAACCATTCACCTAGCACTGACAGTTCCCAACTACACCAGATCCCTCAGCAATAGGTCAACCCAACTCTTCAACACCTCCGGGGATGGGGACTCCACCACTGCCCTGGGCAGCCCATTCCAACGGCCAACAACCCATACTGGAAAGAAATACTTCCTAACATCTAGTCTAAACTCTCCCTGGCGCAACTTGAGGCCATTCCCTCTTGTCCTGTTGCTTTCTACTAGGCTAAAGAGGCTCAAACCCAGCTCTCTGCAGCTTCCTTTCAGGTAGCTGTAGAGGGAGATGAGGTCTCCCCTCAGCTTCCTCTTCTCCAGACTAAACACCCCCAGTTCCCTCAGCCGCTCCTCCTACGACCTGTGCTCCAGACTCTGCACCAGCTCCGTTGCCCTTCTCTGGACATGCTCGAGTCATTCAATGTCATTTTTGTAATGAGGGGTCCAAAACCAAACACAGGAATCGAGGGGCAGCCTCACCAGTGCCGAGTACAGGGGTAAGATCCCTTCCCTGTCCCTGCTGGCCACGCTATTGCTGACACAAGCCAGGATGCCATTGGCCTTCTTGGCCCCCTGGGCACACTGCTGGCTCCTGTTCAGCCGGCTGTCAGTCAACACCCCCAGGTCCCTCTCTGACTGGCAGCTCTCCAGCCACTC